TAAATATCGGAAGCTTTCTATGTGTATATATCTATATATGTTTAAATTTTGGTGACATTGAGATGCAAAAGTGCATTGACATAAATATACTTGTTGATGAGTTTCAGTAATGTGACCAAACAGTGATCCTAGATGCAAAAAAAAACATGCTAATGTAGAAGATACTCTCTCGTTGGAATGAAAACATTAAGGATTATGAAATGTTCTTTAGAAGATTTTGACAATATCCACCAAAATTCTGTAATTGTTGGCCATATATCGTGTAATGCAGGGTATTCGAAGGCGGACAATGATCCGAAAAAGCAGGGGATGTACAACTATGCTTGGAAGTCTAACTCTGGATTTACCAAATCAAACATTTTAAACCAAAACTTGGTTGCTTCAAGACCGAAAAAGCGCAAAAGTTCAATTTTTCTACAGTCACCATGGCACAAAGTATATCTGCAAGGTTCAGAATTATGTCACAGCATCAGGTCATTTCCTCGGATAGTCTTCTACAGTAATTCTAATAACACATTCTAGAAGAGGAAATATCGTTTTTAACAATATTTAACGTATAAACATTTGCTCTCTATAGTATTTCAGAAAAAGAGTGGAGCCTTGCGACAAATATGCTATGTGAGAAGGTACCAATACTCTTATATATCTTATCTTTAAATAAACAGATATTTGACTTTGTTATTGGTACCGTCGTCGATGATAAGGTCGGTCCATATGAGGCGAAATCTCCTTCAGAGAGGAGGCTTGTTTTATCCACACATCTTATGCAACAGCTTCTCCAACCAGCACCAGCGTTTGTTTTCTTGGGCGAAAACGCAGCTCTCAACTACGAAATCGTGCTTTACTTTATGTCAAGATTGACCCTCGCTGATTCATGTTCTCTCAAATGTCGATCGGATTTGGAGAAGAGCAGAAAGTGAGTTCCAATATGACTTTAGATGTAAATTTATCTCTGTTTCTTATGACTTGCTAACTTCCCTAAAGACATGTTTTGTCCAGTCGTCAAACTTCGAAGACAGCTAGTGATCAACAGTTTTCTTCACTCGTTAATGCTTCCATGGAGAAAATACATAAGCTTGAAAGTGACTTCAAGAGGTATGAATCAGCTTGTTAATTGTCTTGAAATGTTAATGTTTCTTAAGTATACGTTTTCTTTTTCAAATTGTATGCAGCTTGGAGAGGACTACATCGATATTAGACATCATCTTCGAAATCCAAGATCTCGAAAGATTCTCTGTGATAAACCATCTCGGCAAGTTTCATAACCGCGCAAAGACCATTACAAGACCTATTCCGCAGAGATACGTTGTTGGGATACAAATGCCAACGAACCTGCCCGAGCCACTACATTGTCTTCCACTGTGATCATCAGATTTTTGGGGGAAGAAAATGATGTGTATATCCATCAGAGATTCTTAAGGGAATCAGAAAAATAATCTTTAGTATATAGTTTTGACTACTTATATATGTAATGTACTCTATCATCTGTAAATTAGACTAATGTTATGTAACTCTTTGATATATATATAAAATATGCAGCTTAAAAAAAACATTTTTTTTTCTTTTAATGTTTGGGACAATCTTTAACCCAACAATTGGAAAAAAAAAAAAAAGGAAACTAATTAATTTCCGTTGAAATTATCTTACTTCATAAAATAGAAAGGAAATTAAAAAAAAAAAGGAAACTTTACTTTTACCATTAGTAAATAGCTAGTAACACAGTAAAACCATCAAAATCCTATTAGAAAAAGAAATTACCTTACTCCATCCTCTATAAATACTCGGCTTTGGGTAACAAATCAACGAATCGACCCTAAAAACAATTTACGAAGAAGAAAGAAACCCTAAAAAGATGTTAATGGAGGAAGAGACTTGCTTGGACTGCAAGAGACCGACCATAACGGTGATTGATCACAGTAGCGGCGACACCATCTGCTCAGAGTGTGGCCTTGTCCTCGAAGCTCACATCATCGAATACTCTGAGGAATGGAGAACTTTCGCCTCCGACGACAATCGCAGTGACAGAGACCCAAACCGTGTTGGTGCTCCAACGAACCCTCTTCTCAAATCCGGTGATCTCGTCACCGTCATCGAGAAACCTAAGGAAAACATTTCTTCTGTTGTGTCCAAAGATGATCTCTCTACTTTGTGCCGTGCGCAGAATCAACTCAAGAACCATGAAGAAGATCTAATCAAGAAAGCATTCGAGGAAATACAGAGAATAACTGATGCACTATACCTAGATATCGTTGTACACTCTAGGGCTTGTGAGATTGTCTCCAAATTCGGTGGTCACGCTAACACGAAATTACGCAGAGGGAAGACGCTATACGCTGTTTGTGCAGCCTCTGTTTCAATGGCTTGTCGTGAACTGAAACTGTCGAGGACATTGAAAGAGATCGCTATGGTTGCCAACGGTGTTGAATTGAAGGATATCCGCAAATCGAGTATGGTGATAAAGCGTGTTCTTGAATCAGATCAAGCCTCCGTGTCTGCTGCTCAAGCGATTATCAACACCGGAGAACTCGTTCGCCGGTTCTGTTCCAAACTTGATATAAGTCAAAGAGAGATAATGGCGATTCGAGAAGCTGTCGAAAAAGCTGAGAATTTCGATATCCGAAGAAACCCTAAGTCAGTTCTTGCGGCAATTATCTTCATGATCTCTCATATATCTCAGACCAACAGGAGACCTATTCGAGGTAACTGAATAATTCTTCTTTTCTTAATTCTGTATTTGGATTTAACTTCCGCTACAAGTTAGGGCGTACTATCTCTTTTAGTTGTTAAATCTAAGTAATTGTGCTGATGATTGTTGGTTTTGCAGAAATTGGAATCGTTGCGGAAGTCGTGGAGAATACAATCAAGAACTCGGTTAAAGATATGTACCCTTACGCCTTGAAGATTATACCTAACTGGTATGCTTGTGAATCAGACATTATCAAGAGATTAGATGGTGTCATAACTTCTTGGGATTCTGCAAAAATTACAGTATAAAGAAGTCACTACCTGAGAGAGAAGCTTTGGGATTGTTGTAGTCTCTTTTCTGATGCATTACATACATCTATGTATAGTCTATACAGTATAGACGTTGGTTTTATGGAAGTATATTTTGGACTTGAGCTTATGTAACATCTTCTTTATGATATACTGCATTTTTGGGTATGGGCAAAACAAATCATCAAATAAATTCAGAGTAACAATGAGGAAATCTAAACAAAATCAAGATTTAATAATATATACTATGTAAAATTAGAGTTTGGGCCCCAATAGATTGTGTATCACAGTGAGATATTTTCATGTCATTAGCAGGGGCGGAGCCAGTGTAGTGGGAGGGGGGTCGGCTGACCCCCATAACATTTATAGAAAAAAAATTATAAGGTAAGTTTTCTAATGATTTTTGGATGTTTTCTAATGATTTTTGGATGTTTTCCTTTAAACTTTCTACAATGACCCCTATGCCATGCAATTGATTTCTTTATTTGACCCCATACATATTTATTATTTCATTTACCATTAATTCTCTTTCCATTTTTATTTTATTTTTCCTTAGAAATAGCTATAAATCTTTAAATTATTTTTAATATATATTTCTTTGAAAGGTCATAAATCAAAATAAATACAACAACTAATCAATATCTACATACTATATATTTTGAGAATAAAAAGTACTTAATACAAAAGAAAAAATGAACTACAATTAAGTATCTTTTATTTTAAAATGAAGCATTTTTAAACACTGCATACAAATTATATTAAAACAATCATTTATTTTTTTTGGGTAAAGAAATTTAAATATTCTCTAGATCATTTAAGCAACAATTTATTATTAAACATACATATATATAGCTAAATAAAAATAATTAATTATAAATGACCCCGGTAATCAAAATTTCTGGCTCCGCCACTGGTCATTAGGATTTGTTTTTTAACCGAAAGACAACGTCATTCAAAACGTCAATGATCATATATCAAGTCCAAACATATACAATTTTGTTCTTTCCTTCCTCTACTTATACACTTAATAGTAGTGAGTCGCTTTACAAAGATACCTACGCCATTAAATTTTTCTTGAAAGATTTTGAATAATATAGGAAAGAGTCCAATTATTCAAAATATACTATACAACGGTTGAAAGAATACACTAAATATTGTTCGTGGGGGCTACTAATAGCAGCAACATGTCACAACCAACAAGCCATAACTATTTAGGCAAGTTCAAATTATGTGATCAATTGCGACACAATGAAACGAACAATAATAGCGATTATGGAGGAAAAGCTCTATTGTAGGAATTCTCCAGATTTTTTAAAAATTTGCAGAGTTTTCAGGGCTGCAGATTAGTCTCGAAAATTCTACGATATACATGGCCGGTGTGAAGGAGAGTGACAAGGAAGCCATTCTCCACACCTTTCCTTTCGAATCTGGTGCTTTACCTGTTCAATACCTCGGTTAATCAATACAATAAAAACAATAAGAGTCTCTCCATACCTGACATATCAGCTTTTTCAGTTCTTTAGAATGTAACACGTCACTAAAAACGAGCTCCAATCAAAACATTTCAATTAATACAGCTCAGCTTAGTAATAGTCTCTATCCGTAAAACCGACGTTGTTCTGTTATCTCTCCACACCTCTTTCTCTCTTCTTTGGATCCGACGTCGTTCTCTTCTCTCACTCTTTCCCTCACCTCTTCTTTCATTCTTCGTTCGTCGGATAGGTCTCCCTGATTCAATCATTCTCTTCAGCAAATTCAATGAATCGAATCCAGAGAGAACACCACTTTATGAAAAAGATGAGTAACTATTTGTAACAATTGATTTCATCATGTTTCGGGACTTTTCCATGTCTATATTCATGTATTGCAGATACATTTTAAGGTTCTTGCAAGGAAATAAGGAATCAATGAATACAAAGTCGGATCGATTGTCGTTCTTTTATGATATCTAAGGTTTAATTTTGGTGATTGAGGAAGATTTCTAGGCTTTTGTTTTGGTTTCGCTGCTGTAAAATTGAGATAGATTTTTGATATAAGCTATGTGTTCTGATATTCGGCGAACGAAGATTGAGAAGTTGATGATGAGTCAACCGAAGCTGCCCTCTAGGTCTTTCTTGTTTTTGCATAATTCTGCAGTTGATTTTAAAGATCAAAATTTCCCATATATCTTATTTCTGGTCTTCTGTTTTTGAATTAGATTCATAATCACAAGTTTATTTTGTGTGTGTTTATCTCAGTGACTCGCCTAAAAACAGACCACATATTTTTGTATCAAGTTTTGGCTGGATGCAACAATTTTCATTGTCTGGTTTTGAGTTTGACAAAACGTACTTCTTGATCTTATGATTGCGGGAAACAATGTTGGAGTTACTATGGGACACACAATTTTTGCTATTCAATGCACTAGGAAGTTTTTGTTGTCTTTGGTTTGACTGGTCCTAATTGTGATCCGTTAATTCGAAGAGGATCCATCAAAAGAACAGCCTCTGTAAGAAAATATTCTTTTGTTCCAATCTGTTAGTAAGAGATCGTTAACAAGTTCTCATTTCAATGAATCTCATATGTTAAAATACACTAGATCATGACCCGCACTTACGTGCGGGGTTTTATATTTTTTAAAAAGTTCTAACAAATTTTAATTCAATATAAATTATTTCGTTGTTTTTATGATATATATTTTAGTGTATTAGATTTGGATTCACACGTACGTGTAGAGATATTTTTATAGAAATTGTTATATAGATTTTAAAAATATAAAATATTTTATTGTGTTAGTGAACTTTATAATAGTACAAATAATATAAAATTAGAGTAATAAACGAAATTCAGTTGCGTTAGTGTATAGTTATATTTTAAGATCCGGACCTACACGTACGTGCGAAATTATATTTAAGATAAAACTAAGATATAATTTAGTTGCAAAAGTTAAATGATGTTACTTTTTTATTTTCTAAACTAATCAAAACATTTCTAATAGTTTGATTACATGTGTTAAATAGGATATAGATTCGGTTTGAGTTTGGTTATTTCATGTATATTAGCTAGGCGTAACTATTTTAGAACGGGAAACACATCCCGTCCTATATCTGTCATACATTCTTGGTCCCATAACCCGTCTTGTATACGTGAAATAAAAATATGACAGTCCAGTATCCGGCATAAATAGAATATGTGTAACTGAAAACGTACGTACATGGTTATGTATGTAAACAAATTTATTTTATATAGTGCTCATAACCTGAACTCATACCAATTGGGTATTTAGTTTGATTTTTAATTTATGTTCCCCTCTCATCCCGTCTCGTAATTCCTATTCTCATTTCATTCCATTAAAATCATGTTCAAAATTCTTATTTGCGTACTTTTAAATACCATATACATACTGTGAGTTTTGTAGATTAATATATATGCTGCTAAAGTTACAAATATATTTTAACAAATTTATTAATGTTTCTTTCCTTAGCTAAATTTTGCATATTCTTCTTTTTATTGTTTAATCATAATTAATTTGATTTTTGGACTAAAAATAAAAATTTGAGATACATTTTTAAAAGGGATATGCTATTGCTGCATAATTTGTTTTGAATTCAAAATATATAATTAGTTTACATTATTTGAAAACTGTGTGCAATATATTAGGGATTTATTTAAGGAAGATCCGGTTGAAAAACAAAAAATAAAACGCAAAATAATTTAGAAATTAATATATACAATCTATTGTTAGATATTTATCAAACTTGCTTTAAACGAAGGCTATAATGATAATTACTTTAAATTTATTATTATTTGAGTTTATTTCATCATAAATATAAAGAGATGTTAATACCTAATATTGTATTTTAGAAATTGTGAAATTATTTTAAAATTTGTGAAAATATTATAACAAAACTGAATCTTAAAATATTTGTATTTAATTTTCTTACAAAATTTTAAAGTCCTCCATTGATAAATCTTTTAAATAATAGTGTTTTTAATTTTGAATTAAAATGATATTATTTTTCTTTTTATTTTTGATATAGAATAGTCTATTAAAATTTGTTTTATTTTTGAATTAAAATCTTAGTTGGATATCAAATCTTAGTTTTTCAATTCCTATTGGTTAACAATTTTTTAAAAATTAATTTCAAATTTTCGTTTATAATTAATAAGAGAGAGAAAAATAGTTTATTTTTTTGGAAATTAATAATTATTTAAAAGAATTAAACTATTTTTTATTTAAATATATTAATTTTGTGATTACTATTGTACCGTTAATGAAGTTATTTAAAAACACTAAAAACCAATGGCAGTAGTTGGGGAAAATTATGTAAATAAATGTTCTGTAAGTGCTCACTATGTGAAAGCTTTACAAGTGATGCCCAAAAGTACATGCTTATTGCTATATTTGTCTTTGATAACAACACCGACGTTCTGTTTGAAAATGTATTAGTATGTCTGTGACTGTGAGAAGAAAATATTCTGACCCAAAATCGGTTTCTTTTTTTTTTCTTTTTTTTTGCTGTTATGGATCAAAAATGAAGAGCTCTTAGCTAAGAAAAACTACCGACTTAATTGTTGTCTTGTGAAAGATTGTAATAGGCATGTAAATGTTGCTGGTGGTGTTTCTAAAATCCGAAAATCTATTTCAGCAGAACAGTTTTGTATGAACTTCGTAATAATGCCGCTATCCTCTTGCTTCTCGTAAAAGAAGTATATGTAATGTACCATGATTCTAGACAAAGAAGTATATGTAATGTACCGATTCTAGACTATATGCGATTAGTTTCAAACACAATTTCAAAAAAATACCCGCAGCGTAGCGCGGGTTTTAACCCTAGTTATTGTTAACAAAGAGATTGGCATCAAGTGACTACACACAGCTTATAGAAAAAATCATAGCACCAATTGGTAAATGGACGGCAAGACACATATCCTTTGCTGGTCGTCTGCAACTCATTAACAATTTTTGGATGCCCGCTTTTCGCTTACCGAGTGCGTGTATGAAATGAAGGAGATCGACAGCTTGTGGTCCACTAAACACTAAGAAAGCAAAAGTGGCGTGGAGTGATGTATGTACACCGAAGGAGGAAGGAGGGTTAGGCCTCAAATCCTTAAAAGAAGCAAACAAGGTTAGTTGCTTAAAGCTTATTTGGAGAATGCTATCGTCAAAATCTTTTTGGGTGCAATGGCTACGGTTATACTTATTACGAAAGGGCTCCTTCTGGTCAATAAATGAAAACACATCTGCAGGGTCTTGGATGTGGAAAAAGCTACTCTCAAATATAGAGCTCTAGCTTCTGAGTTTGTAAAGAATGAGATACAAAGTGGTAGAAATATCTCTTTTTTTAAAACCAAAAAAAAAATAGAGAAATTGCACCCTATAACCTAAAAAAACAACAAAATTAAATATCTAACCTCTAACCCCCCTATTCACTCTCTTTCTCTTCCTATCTCTCTCTACCTTCTTTCTAAAAAACTAATTTTTCTTTTTTTTTGGGTTATTCACCTAAATCACCCAAAAAAATATCTCTTTTTGGTTTGCTAATTGGTCACAATTCGGTAGGTTTAGAAATCACAGGAAAAAGAGGTTGTATGGATATTGCCTATGGGGATCACTCTTCACGCCACTGTGGCTGAAGCAGTAGAGTGAGTCATAGAAGGAGGCGCCACCGGATAGATATTTTAAGTCAGTTGGAAACAGCTCTCGAAGACATACAGTCTATAGGGTTAATAGAAGCGGAAGACATAGTGCGTTGGAAGGGAAAATTAAAGGGTGATCGTTTTAAAACAAAATTCAGCACAAAAGTGACTTGGGAAGCTACTCGAGAAGCAAAGCCAAAGGTAGAGTGATATAAAGGTATCTGGTTCTCACATTCCACGCCCAAATACTCATCCAATTTGGCTTGAGATAAAGAATCGCTCAACTACCGGGGACAGAATGTTATGTTGGAATGTCGGAGTAGATCCATCATGTGTCTTCGGTCATGAACCCTTGGAAACCTGCAGCCACTTGTTCTTCAGATGTCCATACTCGGCAGAGGTTTGGTCGGGACTCACTAGTCTCGCAACAATCCACAACAGTTTGGTAAACAGTCATAAAGCTCCTCACGGACAGGTCTCTCGGGAATGAGTGCTTGTTCTTGATAAGATATACCTTTCAGCTCACGGTCCATTAAGTATGGAAAAAACGAAACAGTCGTCGACATGGAGAAGTACCCACTCCCTCAACTCACATGATCCGGGGACTTGATAAGCAAGACTGGAACAGAATCTCCTCCATTCGAGAACAAGGTGATAGGAGATACGATGATTGTATGGCAATTTGGTTCGCTTCAAGATAATATAGGCGCCCACATCTTTGCTCTCTTTTAAATTTTGTATTCAAAAGCCGCTAAAACAAACACTGCACTTGATGTAAAAAAGGTTTTTTCGAATAAATTTTACATTTTATTCAAAAAAAATAATAGCGAGTATAAAAGAAAGTTTAAATTCAAATTAAATTACATTTTTAAAAATTAACTAAGCAAAATAAACAGAAAATTAAGTTAATTTTTAAAAATTAATTGTGAATTTATAGATAAATTAATATCATTATAAATTAATAAAATATCATGTTTCCAACAATATTAATTTATAGTGGTTTTACTGTAACTAGAAAGTTCAAAAACACATTTAAAATTTCGTTCCAATTGCTATTGGTAATGTGAAATATTCTTTGAATTCCATTTCATTTTTTAAATGTGTTCGACTGTAGCCCAAAAGAGGGTTAAAACTTGGTCAGGATTTAAGATAAGCATAGCCTAAACAAAAGGTTCAGAGCCAAAAATAAAAAAAAAGCCACAATCTTTATTCACAAAATAGATTCCAAAACTAAAATCAAAGTAGTTGAATCGAATGGTTAAACCTTGGTGTCAAATTCACGAAAAGATGAATCAGATTGAAGACGATAAAGGTTAAAACAATGAAAGTTGATACATTTGCCTCGTTCGTTGTAGCGCTTGGAGAAACCCTAGCCTCATCTTTGTCCTCTGTCATCTTAGAGCCGTTCTCTGACACAAAAGATTGTTCCTTTAGGATTCAAAGACTACGACGAGAAGAATTCAAGAAACTCCAAATTGCAGAGAACAAGGATTCAAGTGAATGCAAATGGGTTTCTTTAGAAGTTTCGCCTAAATAATGAAACTTATGGGTTTCTTTAGAAGTTTTGGTTTCTCGACTACAGTTGGGTTAATTTTATAGATAAAAAAAAATTGGGGTTTTATTGGGAAAATTTAAAAATGAGAAATGTCGACAGCAAGTTATTTTTTTTTTCCTCTCTCTTTTTGGAAATCACATAGAGTTGGTGTTACACATAAGTTCTCTGTACATACAACTATACAAAACCAACACCAAACGTTAAAAAGTGCACATCGAGTAACAGCTTAACCAAGACTCGCGACTTTAAAATGGGAGTATTAATTCTCATGATAAACTTCCACTCGCTTTCTCTAAATCTCTCTTCATCTACATGAACATGAAGAGGCTTATGGTTGGAGTACTCCACATTCTTGTATCACCATCTCGTTATTGTCGACTTTAAACTCAAAGATATGCTCGTTGGATGTCACATCCGCTTCAAATTCAAAGGTGTACAAATGCTCCGCTAAAGTGGGAGGCCGGATAAAGTGGTATGTAGGTCTGCATGGAACGACGCTAAGATTATGTTTGTCCATTATGCGATAAGTTACCATCAAATCCCTTCTATTTGCCTCATTCTCCTTGTCCCCTTTATTAACCAGCAAGATGCAAGCTTTAAATCTTGAGGTTGTTGAAAGAGGCCTATGATTCAAGTTTACTATCATGGAATTTCCTCTATTAGCTCGGTAAGTGAATTTTGCAGGCACTTCTCCACCAGGTAAGACCGCATAGTCAGTACTAGTCTGGATGATGAGTTCCCTGGCTTCTTTATTCAATTTGAAGCAGTTAACAAAGTTGAGATATATCTTTGGATTGTAAAAGGAGAAATCAAGTCTCTCCAATGACTCACAATTTACTGCCTCTAGGTATGATAAGGAATCTGGAAGCTGTGGGAGTGATACTAGCTTCTTGCATCCGTTGAGTTTAAGTCCCCGAAGACAAGAGATTTTCGTAACCCACAGTGGAATTTCATGCATTTCTAAATCGTTAACGTATAGCGTTGTGATGATATCAAGAGCATGGGGGAATTTCTTAAGGCTTTCACTGTATGACATATGCAAGTCATCAAGACGAGACCATGACTTGATCGACGAAGGCACTTCTTCTACTGCAGTTCCATTGAGATAGAGATGTTTGATGTTTGTGGATATCTCGGGAAATCTTTTCAACAACAAACAATCAGTGAGATTAAGTTCATCGAGTGATTCCAAGTTGATGTTGGTAGGAAGAATCTCTAACTTTAAGCATCCTTTTAAAGTAAACTCTCTCAATTTATACAGGTTGCCAATAGAGGAGGGTAGCTTCACTACATCGGTGCACATATCCATATGCAATATCTCGAGATTAGTGGCATTTCCAATAGAAGAAGGCAACTCCACCAAACTTGAGCATCCAGAGAGATTCAACCATGAGAGATTAATGGCATTACCAAAACAGGAGGGGAGCTCCACTATACTTTTACATTCACCAAGGTGCAATGTTTGGAGACTAATGGCATTCCCGATAGAGGAGGGGAGCTCCACCAAACTTGTGCAGTCAATGAGAAACAATTCTTGAAGTTTAGTAGCGGTTGAGAGATTAGGTAGCTCCTTTAGGTTTTTCGAGTAACTCAAAACCATCCACTTGAGGTTTTCAAGAGGCTGTACAATCAAACAAAGGCAACATAAATGAACACATTTACTAGTAAAGAAAAATAAAGAAATCTCCAAACAATTAAGTTTAAAGTTCAAATAAACACGAAGTGTTAAGGTCATTCTTTTTGAAGCCTAAAAGATGTAAGAAAACAAACATACTATAAAAACAAAATCAAACCAAAAAAATTTAAAACCAAAAAGAAACACAGAACAAATATGTACCAGATTTCCTTCCCACAGCTTATGAAGTTTGCTGAACCGCAAGTTTAGCTCGACAAGGTACTTCGTACAAAAATTGGAAGGCAAACATGACATCGGAAAACAACCCCATTGTAGTAAGTTTTGGAGATAGCAAACTCAAACCTTTCGGTAAGTACAATTTATCGCTCTGGTCACCGTATGTGCACTTGAATCTTAAGAATTTGAGGTTGGACATTCCCTCAAAAGCTCCCTCACTTATATTTAATTCGCCTAACAACTCAGATGGGTCGAAATGTATACCTATAACACTACTACTACCCTGAAAGAGAACCGTAAAAAGGTAGATAACTAGTGAAGGTTAGTTATCAAATGAATTTAATATGTAGGAAGCGAGCAAAAGGAAATGGAAGACTAATAATAGAACCAACCGTGTCATCAGTTAATACTTCACAAATATCTCTAGCATCAACTAACAATTGACGCTTCCCAGGATCACAAATAGATTGGTGCCCAGGCTCATGACGGACAATTTCTTTACCCAATTGCTCTAGCAGATTATGCATCTTTATCCATTCAGTATCAATAGATATGAGACATTTTTCAGCTAATACGTACAACCCTTGCCTTACATCCAAGAACTTATGCGCTAGATGCTCTTCGACTTTGCTAGTCCTTTTATTGTTGAAAAGACAAGCTATATGGAGGAATAAATCTTTATCTTCATCCCATAAGGCATCATAACTGAACTTTAAAATGCTTTGAATACTGGAATCAAGGCGAGTCTTTAACCGTGGTAGTGCATTTATCCACTCTTCCTTAGACATTCCTCGGAAATGGGAGCCCATAACTCTTAGTCCCAATGGTAGTCCTCCTAAAAGTTTTGTAACTTGCCATGCAAGATCTTCGAAACCATCTTTAGGGAACTTTTGTCCAAAAGCATACATACAAAATATTTGACAAGCTTCACTTGCTGATGGGAAACCCACTTTGTAAATATGGTTGATGTCATCATGTGCCTTCAAAAGTTTTTGATCGTGCGTTGTGATTATAATCCGACTTCCTTGACCAAACCAACAAGTTTCTTTTGCGATAGCATCTAGTTGTATTGACTGATCGATGTTATCAAGAACAACAAGCACCTTCTTGTCGTGTAACATATCTTGTACAACTCCTAAATGACAAATCTCCATTTCCTTATGGTTGGTTATCTGAGACATAAACTGTCTCTGTATGTGCAACTTTGTACTGTAGTCATCAGAACACAGTGGCCTACACATTAACTCTTTGATATTCTCCACAAAGACACTTAGTTCAAAACTGCCGTTAAATTGGTTAAATAAGACTCTGGCAATGATGGTCTTACCAATCCCAGACGGACCCCAAATCCCTATCATCCTCACTTCATCAGAGTCTAGGCATAACAACTGTTCCATTTTTTTCATATGAGCTTCCATCCCAATTAAGCCGCCAAAATCACTTGATGGAGTAGTATAATTCAACATTTTCAATATATCAGAGGATATTTTTTCAATCATGTCCGCTTCATTATCCCTAATTAAGATGGAAGATCAGTAAATAAATCCATTATATTAGTCATGAAAAGTTAACATACACATTCAAAAATATAATTTCTTGGCTGAATATCACACATCCATATATAAACAAATGTTATTATGTTTTAGAGAGATTAAGAGCATATGAAAATCAGAAAGACGAACCAGTTGCGAGAACTGTAACCGGTGGTTGTTGCCACTTTCGCTAGAGCTTGTCTCCATTTGCGAATAATCTCATTTGTTTTACATGCGCAAATATTTTTGAAAGCACTCCCAAATTTTCCGGTGAGCTTCTTAACATCAGATGGATCAATCTTATAGAAAATAGGCAACACTGTTTGACCCAATTCTTCTTTGCACTTCATGATCTCCACCAATTCGTCAAGACACCACGATGAAGAAGCATAGTTCTTAGAAAGCAAGACGAGCGCGATCTTAGATCCTCTAATCGCATGTATGAGTTTAGGACCAATGGATTCTCCTCTCTTGATCTCATTATCAACGAATGTTGTGATTCCCTTTCTCTGAAACTCTTTTTGAATATGACTAAGAAAGTTTCTGCGGACATCTTCCCCGCGGAAGCTTGGAAAGACTTGATGTGTCCAGTTATGAGACGACGTAGATGGAGAAACTGATGAAGGAGATGCAGAAGAAGAATCAATTTCTTTGTTTTCTTGTTGGAATCTGAATATTCTAAAAAGCATGAAGAAGTCTATTGCAGCTACAACAATGCCAAGGAAAAAAGAAGGATTCATTAGTAAGGTGAAGAGAGGATCAAGAACTTTTATGGTGGAGGAAGGATTCACAAAGACGCTTTCTATATATTAGATGCACACTTTGACTCTGTCGGGAGAGAAGCTTTATGAATATTTCCTATAACCAAAATATCTAAAAGACAAACTGGTATTTAATAGAAGACTTTGTGAACAACAAAATCAAAGAATATGTCATACAAGAAAGACATTGCTCACCCACTCTATTTTTAAATTTTATTGGTTTTAAGGAATTTTTTTTAAATAAGAGCAAAAGAATGTGAATTAGTGTCATTCAGTCCAATAAATAGATTTTCACTCCCTTGCAATTTTATTATACTCTTTTTTTTTTTTTTTGTCGAAAACAGGTTTATTATATTGAAGAGGGTTAAAACATATCTTTCCCAAGAATCTTAAAACATTAATTGGTGAGATTTAAAAAGCCAAATAATCTTAGCTGGTCTGTTTGATTCTTACTAATTCTAACATTTGGTTAATGAAGTAGTAAGAAAGTTCATTCCACAGGGCAGTATGCCTAAAATACCATTTTTCTATTTTAAATAAAAACTACATTTTTATATGTGAAATATGACATTTTTTCCTGATTTAAATTAGAATCTATATTTTTAATAAATTAAAACTAATTTTAAATTTTGGAGATTAAGATAAGCTAAATTCGGAAAATTATTAATTATTATTATACATTTTATTTTATTTTAAGAGAAAGATGGTTTATTGATTTTTTTATACTAAAATTAATAAGATTATATCTAAAAATATTAAAAAATTTATAGCTTAATATTTATCATGTTATATAAAGCAAACAATATCAAAAACTCCAAACATATGAACTCAACGAAGTCTACATCTCTGAAACACTTGCAAGGTAAATGTTTAAACCATATACCTAACTATAGGCACAAGTTCCAGTAACTTTTTATGTGATAGAATATTCATTTTTAAATAATAAAATATTTATTATTAATTTCTTAAAACATATTTAGGATAACAAATCCTTAAACGATACTAATGTAACAATTTTTATAAAATAAAATATTTATTTATTATTAAAAATCGTTTTATATTTTAAAATCTATATTTTGGATAATTATTATTACGTTTTAGTGATCGAGAGCAGTGCATTCTCTGATATATTTGTATATCGATTATGCTTGATGTTATTGTTTTTGGGGTTGGGTTGGAATTGTTTTGTGTTGCAAGGAATCCGAGCTCACTAAGTAATCCTAGATTACTTATGACTCCATTTTGTTTTGCAGGAAACCTTAGTGGGAACCATTAGGGGGATGCTCAGGACGTAGGAAAGCCGGTATAGAGTTGTTGCTTTTGTAAAACTTAGTGAGTTTTATTGTTGTGTCGATTTGAGCATGTTGGCTCACGGCACTTATTGTTATTGTTGTTTTGGTTACTTGTTGTAAAACGTTTATATGATATAAAAGGAGTAGTTTCTTATTTTGTGTGTGTTTCACCCGATATTAGTCTTGTCCGGACTAACACAACTCGCGATCACGGTAAGGGTTGAAAAGCTTAAACCGCGTTCGTGAGGGATGGCTCGCGCGGATGGTTCGGCTAAGGGTCTGAATTCGTTTGGAACCTCTGCTGGAACGTCTGTGTGAGCTGTCTACGTGACGTCTCCGGGTCGCCCGTGGCTTGTTTGGTCATAGAGCGGTTCGGGGGCGTTACAGACGTGGCTTGCTCATAACGGAGAGAACGCTTCCTCCAACATAGCTAAGTTTATTCCTTGTGAGACTACAAAAATTTCCATCGTAATAGCACTGAAATACTGCATCTACATCTTCATCGCTGAAACAAGCAAAGAAAAACATCAATTTTGGATTTTGACATTCTGTCGAACACCTCCTGGTGTGCATGAACAGTTATTTGTGTCTTATTAGCCCAAAATGAAATTAGTGACACACACACAAACATATACTCTAAGCTATACGGATACCCACTAAATCCATCACCAGTTACATACGAAATTGTTATTTTACAGACCCGAATTAAAATGAAACCTAAATAAGATTGAAATGACCTCATTGTTCCAATAGGCGAGAAGCAACAACAACTCCTTGTTCGAAATCGTTGCCAATATCTTCAGATTTATGTAATTTCGTGTACCATGCAAGAGGAATTCAGATTTGTGTTCTTATTAGTCACAATCGAGAGGAAGACAATATGTTAAATGAATTTAGAAATAAAGATGTAGGTTAATGGATTGAAGTCTAATCGTTTTATTCTAATTTTTGGTGTTTTTATTAAGTCTTAAACATGTCATTAGTGAGTTGGCAGCCACATAATCTACAGTAAACGGAACGTTAATGACGTCTCGTGATATGTCTGTTTTGGCACAGAATAGAAAGATGAGATAGTGAATTTGAATTTTGAGTTAGTTTGGGTATGTATTTGCACGCATGTACAGTTGAGGTATGAATTGAACACACATAGTGAGTTAAGGTATGAAAATACCGTTTTTCCATTAAGTTTTAGTAAAGTTATTAAGTAATTTTACATATTTTTAAATTAATTGTTTAAAAGAAAACAAAATAGGGTATTTTTCAAAAGTGTAAACAAAAACAAAGCATTTTTCCAAATTTACTCTCTTTTTATTTCCTCCAATTATAACTTTTTATAAATCCTGATATCTTTTCAAATAACCTTAAATAATTACGTAAAATATCCTGTTTATAATTTCTAAAAATATAAAATATATAATTTTTTTCTTTTTGAAAATAACTCTCTGTTAATTTGAAAATATTTGTTTGTCTTTAAATCATTTAAGAACTTACATCTTGACTAAAGCACACCAATGGGCAAAGGGTATGGGCGACCTATCTGCTGCGCTAGAGAAAGAAAGTGCTTCGGGCTGCTTTGCTGCGCTAGAGGAAGGAGAGATGCTGACACGATCATTACTTGCACAAAGATAAAAAAAAATTGGGTACTCTGCCCTTCCAGTGCTACCTTTCGTCGATGTGATTTGATTCTAGAAGATGAGCTTGCTCGGATCTTCAAAACTTGTAAATAAAAATTATTATTATTATTATTTCAAAAAAAATTATTAGTTGTTATAAATCGTCTCTCTTCAGAGAGTTTTGCTCAATTTAGAGAACCGTACACGTGGCGGACTCTGATTGTAGCATCATTTTTAACAAAACAAAAAAAATGTCCCGTCTTTTCTTATTGGGTGATTTAAGTGTATAACCAAATCTGATAAACAAATTAAGAATATAGCACCTTAATTTTGAAAACAAAGGAAATAACCATCAGACATTGTAAAATGACAAAACTAACCATATGTGTAGTACACGTGTGATAGGTGCTAGAGAAGGGGAATATGAAGTTTCATTTTGTTATTTAATTTTTATTGGTTTGAACTTTGAACAAAAAACGTTTACCCCCATATTTGTTTTCAGAAAAGTTCTTAAAAATAAATAAATTAAAATTTTCAGTTCTATTAGAAAAAGTTTAGATTATTTTTTCTGAATATATCATAGGGTGAATTTTTCAAAACGGACATAAACATTTTACGTGGTGAATAGTCTTTGTAACAAAAAAAAAAAACATATGTTATACTATATAGGATCACACAAAATAAATGTTGTACTATACTATTTCTTATAAATTACATTTAAATCAACTTAAACTTAAAAATACTAAACCCTAAATCTAACCGTCTAAACCCAAACCCAAAACATATCTTTTAAAATTGATGATATCAATAAATTTTAAAATTGAAAATATTGAATATATTTAGAAAAATAGAATAGAACATTGTAGTGTTCTATATAATACGATAGCGGTAGTAGAGAACACAAAATACTGAATAATTGCATGAGTCATGCGGCGTGACAAAGAAGAAACACTATATCTTAAGTGATGCAACATAGAGAACCCAAATTAAAAACCAAGTTAAATGGATATAAAATAATACAACATGAAAAACCTAATTTGCCATGTTAAACAATCATGAATTCAAATTAATATTTGTAAAATATAAATATAAGGTTAATATATATATATATATATATATATATATATATTAATTCCGGTATGAGAAAATTCTGATCGATAAAATCCTCTCTTCTCTCTCCTCCGAGCGACTTCAACGACAAGCGCCGTTTCGTTTTTTGTTCACCGTTTTCGGCCGGCGTCGGCTTCTCCGGCGTCGGCCATCGTTGTTTTCTTCTTCAATTGGTTTCATTTTCTCTAATTTTAGTCGATAATGGCAAATCACGACCATCCCACCCATGTTCCTTGTCTATTTTCGATGATGATGTCTGAAGGATCGCGCCTCTCGCTCTCAAATCAGAGTCTGTTCTCCTTCCCGGATCCATTCCTGATTTGGGTTGTGGATCAATTCCATCAGAGACATTCGCCAGATCTGACAGAGTCATCTCCTCTACAATATCTCTATTCCTTTGTAATGTCGATTCAATGGAATTGTGTTTTCCTTCCACGGAGAAGGTTTGTTTTCGGTGCTTTCCCTTGGCGCCGGTGGTTTTTCCGGTTATCAACCGGTGATTGTCCTCTTACCCAAGGGTATGGAGGTTTCACTTGGATATTTGATCCCGGCATCAATAGAGTTTTGGCGGAAGATGAGGATATCATCAAACTAGTGGAAACAAAGAAGAACAGTCAAACACAATGGATTAATTCTGGTGATCTTGTGCCGCTATTTGGCCATTCTATACCGGAATTCCCTGCGCATCGCTACCCAAGATCTATGCTCAAAGATCTTCGATTGGCGACAAAGAGGGAATTAACGGCGCACCCGATGATTCCCGAGAAGTATCTGGTCCAACGAAAGGCTTCTTCTTCACAGTGTTTTGTTCACGATTACATGAGGAGACGACCGCATATGATGATTTTACACCAACCATTTATGAACGTCATCCTTGAATACGATGCATCAGAAGACGAATTTGGTTTTCTATTGAAGATAGATGAAGCCTCGACCTCGCCCAGATGGCCACTTGTTTTTTTGGATTGGGTCTTGGTTTATCTCGGTTCACAAGTAGATTCCATGAATGGCATGTCTGATTTTAAGAAGAGAAAACATTTACCATGGCAACAAATATGGGTGATAAGACAAAGGCGACTACCCACTGATCAAAGCGAGTCTTTCTCGGAGTCGTCAAATGTATTGATTTCAACGAAGCGACAAGATACAGTATTATCTCCAACAACATTAAGTTCACATTTCAAAAGTAAAGTAATGCTAAAGGCATTTTGGAGTCTCAGCAGCAAGCTGATAGCCAATAACAAGTATGTGAAAGAGGGACATAACAGATTTCATCTGTTAGCCCGTAAGGCTTTTGATAGCAGGGTTACTCTCCACTCTTTCATCAAAATTGTTTCAATTTCCTATATTTGCGTACAATGGTTGTTTTGTATCTATTCTGTACCTTGTAAACTTTTATGATATCAATATATTTGATTTGCCGAAAAAAAAATATATATATATATATATATATATATATATATATATAATTGAAAACAATATATATATTTATAAAAGATAAAAAGAAAACAATTGAAAAGAATTTATTTTTCTTTAAGTTACAATACTATTCCATTTGAAACAAATCTATTCCATTTAAAACAAATCTATTCCATTTTCATCTTCTCCTCTGTCTCACTTTATCTCTCCTTCATTCCTATCCATCTCTATATTGATAAAATATTTATCTACACCCCTTGTACTTTTTGCTGCAATAGGGAATTGAACTTTCTTTTCGAGGATTACTTGCCATGACTCACAGGTTCGAAGGTCATGGAGCGTGCTGAGACAGTGGGTTAACTCGTCCACCAAATCAAATCGTTTTAATGGTATACTCCGCGATGGCTGTGACTTCTACATCCACACAAAGTGGCAATCGGATAAGATTTTACAACATCGGAATAGGACGATCGAACCTTTACCGATGATTACATCATCATCTCCTTAAGGAGGAGGACTTATATAGACGATTATGTTGGTGTCGTTGTTGACTGTTTTTTGGCGATGACGGAGAGAGATATGATAGTTTGAGGTTAAAGACATGATGTGTTAGGTATAAGGTTTGTATTAATCTTATTAATGAGAGAATGTTGTTTACACATATTTATACAGACTCTAGAGAAGGACTAGGGTTAAGCTAAGATTAGGAAATTACAGTTAGGACTTTAACTAATCATTATTTACATAATACTCCTATACGCCCCCTCAAGATGGAGGTACTCTTGTAACTCCAATCTTGACACATGCTCTTTGAAAATGCGTCCGCGGTAGCGGTTTGGTAAGTGTGTCTGCTAATTGATCATTGGTAGAGACGTGGAAGACTCGCAGCATTCCTCCCTGAATCTGGTTGCGGACAAAGTGGTAATCTAATGCAATATGTTTCATACGAGAGTGGAAAACCGGGTTTGCACAAAGATATGTCGCCCCAATATTGTCACAGTAAATTACCGGCGCTGTTTGGATAGGTATTTTAAGCTCAGTAAGAAGTGAACAAAGCCATTGTACCTTGGATGCGGTGTTTGCGACAGCTCGATACTCAGCTTCGGTGGAAGAGCGAGCAATACCGCGTTGCTTCTTGGAAGACCATGAGATGGGGTTTCGACCTAGGTAGATCAAATAACCATTGGTGGAGACATAGTCATCATTATCGCCAGCCCAATCAGCATCTGAATAGGCATGAAGGATCATTGGTGATGATGCTTGGAGGAATATACCGTGTGCAATCGTTCCCGCCAAGTATCGTAAAATACGTTTGGCTGCTTGCCAATGTGCGTCACTTGGTTTGTGAACAAATTGTGAAAGACGGTTTACCGCATACGAGATATCAGGTCGCGTGAAAGCAAGATATTGAAGACTTCCAACTAGTGATCGATATGGAGCGGGATTATCCAGCGGGTCACCATCTGAGATTGTAAGTTTCGGGGAAGATTGCATTGGTGTGGTCACAGGTTTGGCGTCTAACATGTTGTGACGGGTAAGCAAATCAGTAACATACTTGCGCTGCATTAAATGTAGTCCTTTAGCAGAACGTGTAACCTCTATTCCAAGGAAGTAATGAAGATCTGTTGGGTCTTTAATCGAGAATCGTTCTGCAAAAGAGGCTAAGACTTGAGAAATCACACGATCATTGTTACCTGTGACGATGATGTCGTCCACATACACAAGAACATAAGTGATAGTATTGGCGGAACTGAGAACAAAGAGCGATGTATCGGCTAAGGCATTCGTGAAACCGGTGGCAAGAAGAAACTGTTTAAGAGCCATATACCACGCCCTTGGTGCTTGTTTCAGTCCGTAAATAGGTTTTCGCAAGCGGCAGACATAAGATGGTCGATCCTTATCAACAAATCCCGGAGGTTGGGACATATAGACTTCTTCGGTGAGTTCGCCTTGGAGAAACGCATTGTTGACATCCAATTGTTTGAGAGACCAATTCTTTGTAACTACAACCTCAAGAACGAGACGAATTGTTGTCAATTTAATAACGGGGCTAAACGTTTCTGCATAGTCTTTCCCGTATTGTTGATGAAATCCCTTTGCTATAAGCCGCGCCTTGTATCGATCAAGCAGTCCGTTTGCTAAGAATTTCGTGGTGAAGACCCACCTGCAACCAACAATATTCTGTCCCATTTGAGAAGGAACCAAATCCCATGTTCGATTAACCGCAAGAGCATCAAATTCACTAGAGCACGCCCGACTCCATTGCTCATCTTTCAAAGCTTGTTGTATCGTTGTAGGCTCTTTTAGTAGCTGTGGATTGATTGTTACCGTAAGGCTGTGTTTCTGTTTGGGTTTTCGAATATTGTTTTTGGCTCTAGTTTGCATTTTGTGGTTGTTTTGTGGTGGAGCTAAATTTTGGTTATCTGGTTGCGTAGACGTAGCTTGGTGGGATGTTTGGGAATTTGTTTGTGACTGAGTCTGAGCTGTAGGTCGCAGCTCATTTTGGCGAAGAGCAGTGGGCTCATTTGAATCACGGTTTAGCTGAGTCGAGGTTTGCGACTCATTATGTTTTGGAGCAGTGGGCTCAGAAGTTGTAGACGGAGTAGATGAGACATAGTTAGGAGATAATACTTGTGGTGTGGACGTTGGCGACGACGGCAGGTGAAGGTCGGAGCGTGAGGGTCCCATTGAAGGCGTCAGAGAAGGCTCGGGCGATGGCGAGGAGCTGCTGGCGTCTGTTTGAGAAGAGGTAGACGATGAAGTATGATGGTGGGCTTGAGTTGGGCCTGTAGGAGATTTAGGGTGCTGGGCCTCATTTAAAGTAGTTGTTGTTGGGCCTATCTCATTTAATCCCAAATTAATAAGTGGCCCATGTGAACAGTTCTCTTCACGAGCAGCAGGGGACGGAGCAGCTACAGTCGGGACCGGTGGTGCCGATGATGATAGTGCCGGTGGTGGTATTTGCGGCGGCTGAACCTCCGGCGAGGAGAGAGAAAGCAAAAGTGGTGACGACGTATTCGTGGTGTGTAAGGAAGCCTCTGTTTCAACCAACGGAGTCGTCGGAGCAGCAAATGGGAATTTTGATTCATCAAATTGAACATGTCGGGAGACGTAAATGCGTCCTGTAGGTTGATGTAGACAAAAATAAGCACTTTGTGATGTAGAGTATCCAAGAAACACACACGGTTGCGAACGATCATCAAGTTTGTGCATTGTATACGGTCTCAACCACGAAAAGCATAGGCAGCCAAAGATTCGCAGCTTCTCATAATTCGGTGACTGATCAAACAATTTCTCAAATGGAGACTCCATAGAGAGAACCGGTGTTGGCATTCGATTGATCAAGTAAACGGCGGTTGAGAATGCGTAGGACCAATACTCCTTCGGAATAGACGCAGTGGACATGAGAGTGAGACCGGTCTCTACGATATGACGATGTTTGCGTTCAGCTAGGCCATTATGTTCCGGCATATGTGGCGGAGACGTGAGATGTGAGATACCATGTTTGCCGAGGAAACCGCGTAGCGCAATAAATTCACCTCCGTTATCTGAAAATAATGTTCCAAGTTTGCTTTGAAAACGATTTTCGACTAGAGCTTTAAAAGCTGGAAAAATTTCTTTGACATCCGATTTACGTTTGAGTGGATAAAGCGATGTGTAGCGAGTGAAATGATCAACCAAAAATAAGATAGTATTTGTGGTTTTCAACAGAAAGAATTGGTGAGGTCCAAACATCTGTAAAAAGATATTCAAGTGGTCGGTTGGAAACAATAGTGGTTTGAGAAAAAGGTTGCTTATGGCTTTTATTAATAAGACAATCGGAGCAAGATAATTGTTTTTGAGAAGAAGATGAAACGGAAATAGCAAACTTGGAAATTATTGAATTTAAAATAGACGAAGAGGGATGTCCCAATCTTGAATGCCAAGATGTGAGACTAGCTTTATGACCAGAAGAAGACACCATTGCTACCGGTTTTGAAGATGTCACCGGCCACTCGTACAACTCATTTTTAGTCCTGCCTTGGAGTAATGGGACCCCCGTGCTGAGATCCTTCACCTGAAAGGATGCAGGGAAAAATTCAACCGACACACGGTTAGTGTTACATAGACGATAAACCGAGATAAGGTTTTTCTGTATATCAGGAACACATAGTATTTTATCAAGAAGTAAAGCACGAGTTTGATTAGGAAGAAGCGAAGAACCCGTGTGTGTAATTGCCATGGTAGACCCGTCAGCAATTAGAACATCATCACCTCCATTGTAAGGTTGATGAAGCGACAAGTTATTAAGATCGGATGTGAGGTGATGAGTCGCGCCAGAATCAAGAAGCCAAGGAGCTGCCAGATACGTGGAACCCATCGCAAGATTCGCGCGTGGCTGCCACGGGCGAAATGGAGAGCTCGGAGGAGCACCGGCGGATGCTTGGAGAGCATTGAGTTGCGGGCAGCGGCGAGCACTGTGTCCCTGTGTATTACACAATTGACACTTGCCTAAGTAGGGTTTGGAGGAACGGGTGTCGGGTTTGTTTTGGTACTGTGATGGCTGCCACGAGTTGTTGTTGGTGTTGTTCCGTTTGCCGGAGTTGTTACGGTTGTTGTTGTAGCAGGTGCGCTGTTGGACATTGTTGGCGGAGACTGGAAATGTGGATGTTACCGCAGCTTGCTTGGTGAGAAGTCGGGCTTCATGATTAAGAAGCCTTTCATGAACTTCCGTGATCTGAGGGGTTTTGTCTTTTCCTTGGATTTGATTAATGGCAGGCTGATATTCCTCGGGAAGCCCATTAAGGATGAGCTCGATTTGATCCTCGTGCTCCATAGGGCTACCAAGGAGAGCGAGTTGGTCAAGGCGAGCAGTGAAAGCTTGAATGTATTCGTCAATCGATTTGGTTCCCTTGTTTATCACCTTGAGTTGATCCCGCAAAATAAGGAGATGACCACGAGACGGATTGGCATATGTGGAGGCTAGCTTTGTCCAGATTTCTGCGGCAGTGGTGGTGCGAGCCACAAGTTTCTGAAGCGGAGTGGAGATAGTCCCAATGAGAGCGCTGTAAATAAGCTTGTCCTGACGTCGCCATTTTGCAAAATTTGGGTTGGGTGAAGTGGTGGTTCCAACCGTAACAGTGGCTGGTGGGACTTCTACAGACTCATCGAGATGCTTGACGAGGTCATACCATCAAGAAGGGCATGGACCTGAAGTTTCCAGGTGAGGTAAGTGTCAGCGGTGAGTTTAGAAATGTTAGCCATGTTGATGTGAACAATGGCGTTTGAATTGAGAGAGATGGTGACATCGTGCGTGTTGGAAGAGGACGACATGGTGTCGACGACGGCTGGAAAGAAAATTTGAAGGTTTTAGGTTTAGAGGAGCGTTAGCTCTGATACCATATAAGGTTTGTATTAATCTTATTAATGAGAGAATGTTGTTTACACATATTTATACAGACTCTAGAGAAGGACTAGGGTTAAGCTAAGATTAGGAAATTACAGTTAGGACTTTAACTAATCATTATTTACATAATACTCCTATATTAGGCGCGTGTATTACAACAAGGGTAAATATGTATATATTACACAATGTATGCCAAATATCATAGCCCAACTTTTTTTATGGTTTTCTGTTGAATTATTAAATTTTTGATGGTTATAGGCTCAAATTTTCCTTTCTTATTCTTCCTTCGGCAAAAAAAACAAACCTGATTGTTTCTCTCTCTCGCGAAGGCGATCGACGCGACGCCGTTCTTTTGCCGGACCTTGTGATTTTCGATCGTCTCGATGCCGGATTCAAGTATCTGAGACTTACATGCCGCCGGCTTCATCAACTACAGAGACGCTGCTGACCATCGGCAAACGGAGGGAAATTGAATCGAAGATTTGCGACTCCCAAATTCGTTGAAGGAAGCTCCAAATTCTTGCTGTAGGTATGAATCAAGCCCCTTTCCCCTGTGTATCATGACTTAATTGTTAAATTCGTTGTATTTTTTGGTTCTTTAATCGGACCTTAATCTTATCTACTCAATATTTGATTATGTGTGTATGATCTATTCTAGTAAAATTGAATTGTGTGATGAGATGATGATAATAGTTATGATAACGTTGTCTAGTTTTATTATTACTAACAGTCATTCTAGAGCTTTTTCTAGACAGTTTTTTTTGGTAATTTGCATCAAGCTGGATACTTTGGTTTTGCATTTGTTTTCTAAATGAAGAAATTGGTAATGGATTTGGCTTCTATACTCTTTTGGTTGATGCAGTTTCTTATTTTACAGTACAAGCCTCATAAATGTTATCTTCAAGCTCACAAAGGGGATAAGATCAAGGTTCCTTCTTGCTTGCTTGATATTAATTTGATTGACCTGAAAGAAAGAGTTATGGACGAGTTTTCTTGAGGAATTACCTTCATCAGTATTTAATAAAATTGTTGATATTGGAGCTGTTGGATCTTTCTGTGTTGGTTTAGTGATATTTGGTGGTTCTTTATTAGAGAAGGTAGTAGGAAGAAGAAAGGTTATGGTGATGGAGATTGGATTTGTACCAACGTACGAGGATAAAGATCGAGATTGGATGTTGGTTGGTGATGTTCCATGGGACATGTTCTCTTCTTTGTGTAAAAGACTCAGAATCATGAAAGGATCTGATGCTCCTACTCTAGACTCTTCCTTATGATCTAGAGAAGATGAGAAGCTTTTGTTTAAAGGAGATGATGATTATGATCGATGAATGAAAAACCCTTTTTGGTTTGATTCTGATCGGAGTTTGACCACAAAAATGAAACTTCTGCGGTTTTGTCCGATAAGAGATTCGTCTCTAGTGATGTTCTTTTTGTCTTTGTATTTAGATTTGAAGCAGTTTGATGTAAAGATACATGAGGTATTTTTGTATAATACAGACATACAATCTATAAATGGACGTATTAAGTAGCAATGTTCTATAAGATCAGTTTTTGTTCTTGATCATGAACATAGTATTTTAAATTTCTGAAACTTATACACATTTGTTTAACTAAAGATATTAAACTTATCCAAGTATGCCTATAAATCTCGGGAATGGGCATTCGAAATCGAGTTCATGATCGAGATATTCATCAACAATTGAAAGCTGATTTGGTTGAGCATATATGACAAAAATTTCACAATAATCTTCTTATAGAAAGGTAGTACAACTAATCGTTATTCCTGTTTTGATCTCACATTTTCACAAAATTTATACTGAAAAAATTGAGAGAATCTCATGGTGAGAACTCTCCATTGGAACTACTCTTAGAACATCTCCAACCATGACAGATTATATATAAAACATTTGAGAGATTTCCAAAATAATATATAAAACAAAATATAAATTAAAAAATGAGATTATGTTCTTAGAAGAGAGGAGAGGGATTCCCAAATGAGAAATTTAAATATCATCTCTCCTCTTTTAAGAACATTTCTAATATATTTTAGGGAAAATTGGATATAAAGGATAAATAATTTAATTATTGTCCATCTATGCATTCTATATTCATAATTGATCATATATGATTTAATATTGGTCATCTATGCTTTAATATAATTAAAATCCCATTTTATCCCTAGTTTCTTTAAATCTTGCTAAACTATAAAAAAATTTCCAAAATTAATTAGATTTCTTTCTAAAAATAATTTAGAGAAAATATATGACAAAAACAATATTTATTTACTTTCCAAATATTCTTGCCAAGATAATTCCAAATTGTCTTCTTATTTGACGTTAACTTCCTCATAATTCTTTTGACGACAACTTCTTTTTTGATTTTCTCTTTTGGTAGTTTTTTGGATTTCTTCAATTCTTCGGAGCTTGTATATCCAGGAAAAATTCTAGATTTCTTTGCATGTGTTGGATTATTGATTTGTAGTGTTGTGTTGTTTCTAAAAGTCTAATAAAACAAGTTTTAGTTTTCATCTCTTGTGTGTGTCTCTCTCTTGTCCAAGTCCTCTGTTACTTTGTCTCTTTGTCTCTTGATCTCGTACATATGACTATTTCTAAGTCATTCTAAAACAAAGCAATTTTGGTTATAACATAAACGTTAATTTGTTGTTTTTTTTCTTTTGCACTAAGTAACCTAAGAAGCAAAATCTAACACTTTGATCACTTGACTTGCTTCCATTATCTTCTTTTGTTACTAAACCTTAATTTGATAACATAATTTTGGGCCTTTTGAACTTATTATGTTGATTGTTGACATTTACAAAGAACTTTGCTACAAAAATTCCATGAATGTTGATATTTACATATTTTAAGATTGTTTTTGCTTTTGTGTAGACATGGAAAACGAGTGTCCAAAACGCCTATTCACATATGGAAATCAGCCACAAGTGGAGAAGATAAATAACAGCTGCAAAATGTCTCTTCTGACCAAAATAAAGGAAACGTTGCCATCGGAGTATGATGAAGTTAAGAGAGATCCAGTATTCGCACATGTCTTTGCAATACACGAAAATAAAATAGGTTATTCCGCTCGCTTGATACACAGCATCATGTGTAGACAATTGGTTACAAAAAAAAAACATGAGCTATGGTTTGTGTTTGGAGGGAAGCCACTTAGATTTTCACTCCAAGAATTTTATGCAGTTACTGGTCTCAAGTATACTGATGATGGGAGCTGTGATTATGAGAAATGGAAAGATGATAAAGGATTTTGGAGTAAATTGCTGAAAAGAGGTGGAGATATATGCATAAATAAATTGATGACTAGCATTGAAGATGTTAAGAAGTGGAGGGAGAAGGACGACAGAATTCGTTTCGTGTATATTTGTGTGATAGCTGGGTTGGTCATGGCTAAGGGTGAGACAAAAAAGATTGATCATTTATACATCAAGATGGTGATGGATCTTCGTAACGTTCATAATTATCCTTGGGGTCTTAAAGCTTATGATTATCTACTACAATGTATCATGAAAGCAAGATCTGCTTTGAAGAAAACCAAAAGCTATGTTCTAGATGGATTCTCATATGCACTTCAGATATGGGTGATGGAAGCAATTCCAGACATTGGAACATTGGTGGGAGAAAAGATTAGCACTGAATTGATTGCAGCTCCTCGATGTTCTAATTGGAAAGGCGCTGCAAAGGTATCATATGAGGACATCATCTCGGTGGAGATGTCATTTACATCACATGTGAGTTTACAATTCTCTATTTTAAGTTTAAGAGTTTAAAGATCTAGGGGTTTTAAACATGTGTGTCTTATTGGTAGTTAACGTGATGCAGACAATTATTTGCATATGAAACTATTATGCCTCGTAGGGTTCCAGTGTTTCTTTAATATTTTTTTGTTATGTTTTGTAGGCTGTCTTTTATCCATTCATTTCTTATTCAGGAAATGAGTTCATTGATGACAAAGAATTTGTATGGCCTGATGAAATCAGAGATGGTGAAGTGGATAATATGATTGAAATGATCAAATCTGGGAATGATTTTGGAGACCATGTTTGGGGAAGTGTCTTAGAGGATAATATAGAAGGCGACAATATTGAGAATGTGCAAGAGAATGATGTCGCAGATAAGGATGTTGCAACTGAAGACATGAATGAGGTCGATCATCTGAGTGAGCTAGTTGAAGATGGGAATGAAGAGAACCATGTCTCTGGTATGAAGAGGAGTAAGAAGAAACAATCTGATCACGGTGCAGAGACACGCAAAAAGAAGTTGCTTTGTCAACGAGCAGCAGCAGCAACACATGGAGCTTTAAATGACGAAATGAAGTCCTTTCTTAAAGCATTGTTTGATTCTTCTTTTGAGACGATTAAAGCACAATTGGGAAAACTAGAGGATGATATAGCACTAGTGAAGAAATTGGTCTCCACATCTGCAACTGCAAGTATCACAACGAGATCCACAACCTCGCAACCGTCCAATCGAACAGATCAGCCTAGAAAAGTTGTGGTATGTACGTAAGAGATAAATCTTTATTTTGTTCACCTACTTTGTTTATTATAACATGCTCTTTTCGGTTTTTGTTGTATTTTAATGTTTTCGTTATATCTTTTTCAATGGTAGGATGAAATGACGTCTTTAGATGATGACTTTTTAGACTTTAGTTTTGGTACACAAGACTTCTTAGATAAATCCATGGGACACTTATCTCAACCATCACAGCTACCCGAATTTGATTCCACACAAATTTGAATCGCAATAAAATCCAGAGCCTGATCGAAATTGAAAGCGAAGGTAAACATATTCCTGACGTGGGCAAAAACGACAAGGATGCTGTATTGGTGTTTGTTTCTGAGGCTAGATGGAATGCTTTTATGGAGTGGAATATGAAGCACCAGTAAGTCCATTATTTTTCTCTAAAATTATTAGAATTTTATGCTTTGCCAATCGATTTAATTCTCATGGTTTCACATTTTCAGAGACTTAAATTTTGGTCCAAGTGTTATCAATAAAGCATTACTCGGTAGACTCTTGAAAGCGAACGAATGGCTTAGCAACGTGGTGCGTTATACCGATTGTCATTTACTTTGCATTACATACTTAGTGTTACAAAGAAGTTGTGGTACACTGATTATTAAATGATTTAATATTTTTCAGGATATGGATGCTGCGATGTATTTATTTCGGGAGAAATCATCTTTAGGGCGATTGGATATAAATTAGAGTTACCATCTACGGCAGTAGCAACTAGTAGAACTCCTTTGTATTTGCTCTTCAAAAACGTTCCATCAACTACAATCACCCTATGAACTGCCTTGTAGAACCCTCTTATTGATTGACCAAAAGAAATAAATAGATACTTGAATCTACCATCGTAATCAATTTCAAAATTCGTATACGTACCAGGATTAGCTTCTTGTAGCATATGCAAGTATTTTGGTATTTTACCATAACTTTTCTCAGGTATCCCTCTAACTTCGTTAACTGCATACTCACGAGACTCCCAAGCTTGGGAATAAGATAGCTCACATCCATATTCTGTACGCAAAATATTAATGATATCATTGGGTTTAGGCCCTTCCTTCACACCCTCGTATCTATGCATAATGAGCTGTCCAATTGTTCTTGCTGAAGGGGTTCTAGAGACTTTGCTTTTCTTCGAAGGAGCACAATTATGTTTAGCAACATACTTATTGATTTTGAAATATGTAGATCCCTTCAAACATTCTGCACGAAGCCTCCATTTGCAAACTTTGTCCACACAACGAATACACCAAAATGTCGGATCAGATTTAGTAACTCTGTAGTCGAAGTTATACTTCATCGCACATATTTCTAGAGTTGCCTGTAAAGCTTCTTTGCTTCTGAAATGTTTCCCATTCTTTACAATGGAATCTGCCAATATAGATTCAACCTTATCACAAACTCTACCAACATTAGGCGTATCCTCAACAACCAATACTGCAGATTTTTTACGCACGTTACGATCATCATCTCTTTCAATCGAATCACTTGGCTCCTCATCCAATTCGGTATCCACTATATTCCTTTGATTATCGCCTTTAACTTTAAATGTCACACACAACCATATCAAAATGTTCCTTTTATAATAGTCGACAAAATTTTTCAGTTGTCGGTCATTCGTCATAAGAACAGGAGGAGAATCAACACCGAGATCTGTAGGTAAATAAGTGAATTCCACATCAAGGTTCTATTTTGTAGTCTTCAGAGACCATCATCAATAGGTCTTCAAGAGTTGTTGTAGATTGCAAGGTGAGTAATCTTGCACATTTTTCTTCATCAACAATAAATTTCCACTCTTTATTAGCAAATGATCTCCATACACCACAAGTAACATAGATCTGCAACATAATTGTTTGTCTCACAATTACTTAAAGATCGTGACTAGGGAGAAGAAAGAAGAAAGAAGAAGAGGGGACGAAGGAAGAATAAGAAGAGATGAAACGTGGAGAAAAAGAAATAAGGAACAAAAGAAGAGACGTCAAAGTGGACTAGGGTAATCTATTTACTTATGGGTAAAGAATTCTAAACTAATAAGAATACATGTTCTAAAATTTGTAGACGTAATCTTAACCTTAATATTCAATTTTATCAGATGTAATCTTAACAATATTCAATTTCTTTATTTAAAGATCTATTTTCCTTTTCTAAAAAGAAATTCTAAATTATATAGAATTTGTTTTCTATTTTTTGTAGGATATATAGGAAAATATAAGAATGTGTTTTCTAACAATTTTAGAACATGGGTAAATGTTAGAAAAGATATTCTAATTTTTTTAGAAGAAAGAGCAAAGTATAGAACATGTATTCTAAATTTCGTAGAAATTAGCTATCTAAATACCGTAGAACAGAAATGCGTTCTAAATTCCGTAGAACATGTAGAGTGCATAGAATACATTATCTAAATTTTATAGAACATGTACAATGTGTAGAATACACATTCTAAATTCAGAATGTGTATTCTAAACTTCGTAGATCGTATTTTATTTATCCAAAACGGCAACAAAAATGACATATTTTCGACATTATAAGTATCCTCATGACTTATTTTTCATTTGCCTACAAATTGTTCTAAATTTTTTTTGAAAAACTAGTTAAACCAACTACAAAGGGTAAATTAGGAATATGTGATATTTTTTCATAGAATGCATAGATGGACAATAGTTTAATTATTTATCCTTTATATCCAATTTTCCCTATATTTTAATTATTATTTCTAGATCAAAATTATGTAGAACCCTCATGTAAGCACTCCTTGTTAGAGCCCAAATATAGTTGGGCGTTAGTATTTAGTGGACTGAGTACTGACCATTCATTGGCTCTTCTCCTCTACATTAGTGGACTGACCTGACCGCTCAAACCTCTCAACACTTGCTTTCTCGATTTTTTTTTTCTCTCGAAATTTGTCACTTTCTTGACTCTTCTGTTGTCTGTTTTCATATGTTAAAATCATTTGCATGTTCATAAATCAAATGTTAAAGATAATTTCGTTTTGATAATTATTGCATGCATTCTCAAATGCTAAATCTTTTTGCAGAGGTAACGAGACTTTCTCCTTCAATTCTCCTGGAAAATTGTGACAGCAAAAGAAACTGCAATTTCTCCAAATTTTAAGAAAGTATAATCAGAATCCAGTGTCTGATCATGCTCTTCTTAGGTAAATGTCACTGCCTTTTCTGAATATTGTTATTGTTGTTTGTTTCTTTAATTTATTTCCCCCAATTTTTTGAAACTTCTCGAAATTCGTCAGTTTTGGACTCTGCTGTTATCTGTTTTTTCCTTCAGACACTCAAATCCTTTGTATGTTCTTAAAAAAGATATTTCGTCTTTATAATTTTTTTGCATGCAATGCATTCACTATTTATGTAACAAAACATTCTTTTTTTTTTTAATTGTTTGTTCTTGTTTTGTTTGAGCCTTTGAGGTTTCGTAAATCACAACGAACCATCGGAAGCTTGATATATATACGTTAACTCTTGATTTGTCTATAAATATGTAAGCATGGTAATGACATTAGATATGTGTTCTTCTGGAGTCTTTTGTGGATTAAAATGTTTAAATTTTGGTGACAATGAGTTGCAGTATAATTTTTTTTTTTTTTTTGATAAATATTGTCGAAGAGTTTCCGTTCTATGAAAAAATAGTGATCCTAGAAGAAAACAAAAAACATGCTAGAGTCGAAGGTAATATGTCGTTGGAAATTTGGAATGATAACATTAAGAAACAGGGCCGGCCCAAACTATTTGAGTGCCTAAAGCAAAAAAAAATTTGGCCCATTAACAAAAGCTGTTATAAAAAAAAAAATACAAGTTTTAACATGTATGAGATTCGAAACCGTGACCTGTACAACAAAAGACTTCAATCTAACCACTAGACCACAGTAACATTTTAAAAATTGATGCCCCTAAAACTACTTATAATTATTTGATGCCTAAAGCCCTTGCTTCATGGGCTTTACCCATGGGCCGGCCCTGTTAAGAAATATGAAATGTTCTGTAGAAGATATTTTTCAAAATCTTCCCGCAATATCCGCCAAAATTTTGTAATTGTTCGCCATTTATCGTGTAATGCAGAGTATTCGAAGGCGGAAAATGATCCGAAAATGCAGGGGATATACAATTATACTTGGAAGTCTAACTCTGGACTGACCAAACCAAACAGTCTGAACCAAAACATGGTTGCTTCAAGACCGAAGAAGCGTAAAGGTTCAACCTTTTTACAATCACCATGGCACAAAGTATATCTACAAGGTTCAGAGTTATGTCACAGTATCAGGTCATTTCTTTAGACTGATCTAGTACCATATTCTAGATGATGATTATGATATATTGTTTTCACCCTATTTGAAAAATTACACATTTTCTCTCTATAGAATTGCTGAAGAAGAATGGGGCCTTGCGACAAATACGCTAAGTGAGAAGGTTTCAATACTCTTATATTTATCATTTTTCCTTTAGTAATTTCCATCTCCATCTTCACAAAGATATTTGATTTTGTTGTTGTTACCGTCTGATGATAAGGTCGATACAAATGAGGCAATATCTCCATCAAAGAGAAGGCTTGTTTTATCCACACAACTTATGCAACAGCTTCTCCAACCAGCACCAGCGTTTGTTTTCTTAGGCGACAATGCAGCTCTCAACTACGAAATCGTGCTTTACTTTGTGTCGAGAATCACCCTCGCTGATTCATGTTCTCTCAAATGCCGCTCGGATTTGGATAAGAGCATAAAGTGAGTTCCATTATGGTTTTAGATTGATCTCAGTTTCTTAATCTTTGCTCACTTCCCTAAAATGAATTTTTGTCAGTCGTCTAACTTCGAAGACAGCTAGTGATCTAGATCACCGATATTCTTCGCTCGTCAATGCTTTCAATGAAAAAATACATAAGCTGGAAAGTGACTTTCAATGGTATGGATGGATCGATCCTTAATTGTTTTTCAAAGATAATTATTTTCTTGAGTGTACATTCTCTTTCAAATTGTGTATGCAGCTTGGAGAGGACCACATCGATATTAGACATCATCTTCAAAATCCAAGACCTCGAAAGATTCTCCGTGATAAACCATCTCGGCAAGTTTCATAACCGCACAAAGACCATTACAAGACCTATTCCGCAGAGATACATTGTTGGAATACAAATGCCAACGAACCTGCCCGAGCCACTATATTGTCTTCCTCTGTGATCATCACAAATGATTTAATTTGATGTGTATATCTGTTGAGATTGAACTCTCCGATTGATCCTGCAAAGAAGAAGAACGATGTCAATGAGAAAGGAATGAAGAACAAGGGAGTAAAGAGGTGGGTTGGTGTGATGAAACCCAGAATCTAGAAAGAGAGAAGAAGCGTCGAAGGTTGACGAAAGGAAACGTAGAAGAAGAAGTCAAGGTTTAGTTGTTTTGGGTTAAGATATGTTTGGGCCTGCAGATTTGGTTTTTGGCCCAACAGAAAATGTCTAGATGGTTTTTGTTGTAACCCATTCGTAGACTTGATGTACTCTTAAGTTAGCTAAGTACCAAGTTAGAATAACAAGAGAAGCTGTTAGGTCTGAATAGTAAAGAGTTGTTAGGAGTTGCTGGAACCTATACACAAGTGGTGTTGCTTGTGTAAGTGATCCTAGTATCTAGAGTTATGGCAAAGAAACTATGTGTGCAAGTGTGCAATCTCTATATATGTGTTTAAGAGATGTTGTAAGTTTTTTCTATCTATGAAAAGTATGAAAGTTTAAGAGAAAAACAAAACAAACCTGTGATCTAAGCAGAAAAACAACAATATCCATCAGAGATTCTTAAGGGAATCAGAAAAAATAAGCTTTAGTATATATTTTTGACTGCATAAATCTATGTCACATGTATATGTAATGTACTCTAACATATGTAAATTAGACTAATATAATGTTATGTAACTCTTTGATATATCTATATATAATATTTCGTACATATATAAAATAGAGATAAGTTGCAAAATAGTCACTTTTTCAAACATAATTAGGGAACTAGTATGTTCACTATTTACAATTAGAATTTTCCCCATTTGTAACTGTTCCCTAATTTTTGTCTGACCCTAATGCCATCTAAAAACTCTATTATTTACCATTCCATGCCATTGCGAACTGGTTAGCTACGAAGCACGGAATCGTCTGTGATTCCACGTTTCTCGCTCCGGAAGCGGAAGCGAAGCGGAAGCGAAGCGCAAGCGCATCAGAATCGCTCGGAATCGCGTTGGAATCGTGATTCCCAAAATGAAGCGTTTGGAAGCGTCGTGGAAGCGACGATTCAGAGTTGGAAGCGCCGTTGCGGTAGATCGGAAGCGTCGCTGGTGTTGATCTGAGATAAAGGTATCACCGGGGTTTGTTACGGCCGGAACGGCAACAATCTCCCGACGCCGGCAGATACAGTAGCTTTATACAAAACCAACAATATCGACGCAATCCGTATGTACGAGCCCTTCGCTGACATGCTCGAAGCCCTCCGTGGCTCAGGTCTCTCCGTCGCGTTTGGTCCACGAAACGAAGAAATCCAATCCCTAGCCCAAGATCCAGCCGCCGCAACAAATTTCGTCGCCACCTGGATCACACCTTACCAAAACGACGTCACAATCAAATGGATCACAATCGGTAACGAAGTCTTCCCCGGATAAATCGCTCCATTCGTCGCCGCCGCGATCAGAAACGTCAACGCCGCGCTAACGAATTCCGGCGTCACAGGAATCTCCGTCACAACGGTTTTAGCTATGAACGCGTTGACCAATTCATATCCACCTTCAGCTGCAACATTCCTCCCAGATCTAACCGAGATCATGACGGAGATTTCATCGATACTCTCTCAGACGAATTCGCCTCTCATGACCAATATCTACCCGTACTTAAAAAATTTCAATCAGATTTAATCTTTTTAGAATGACGTTTTTCACCGACAATACATATCATAGCGTTTGTTAATTAAAAAATGCTATGAACAAAATAAAGGTAAGACAATTATAGCAAAAATATCCGGATCTATGGCAAATTAAATAACGAATGCTAAGATTTACATTTTAATAGAATGATTAACATAAATATATTTACTAAAATTGTGTCAGAAGTTTATTTAATATAATATATATTTTTATCTATATTTTTATTTATATATATATAACGCTTCTAATACACACCCGCTTCCTAATTTTTTTCAAATATTCGCTTCCACGCTTCCGAACGCTTCCACTTCCGCGTACCCGCTTCCGATTCCATGCAGCTTAGCTGGTTAGTTTGTCTTCAACCCACTTTGCCACTCAGAAACTGTATTAATTACGGTTCAATGCCACGATCTCTTGTGCTCTTGTCGTTTCGTCTTTCTCTTTCTCAGGTGAAAACCTATTTTTTCTGTTCTAACAAGTAACTGTCGTCTCCTCCGTTTCCTTCGATGCCGAAGAAGAAAGCATCTAAATCGAAGTCAAAAATCCCTCCGTTCGAAACGAAGCAAGAACCCAGTCGGCGAGGCATCAAAATATTCTTCAAAGAGATTAAAAAGCTTTTCATTTTTTGGGCTCTCAATTAAAAATTGGGTTAAATTGTTAGACAGAAAAGAGTTTGGGGGTTTTATGGGGAAAATAAAAGAATTGGAAGAGTTTAATAGTGGGGGACAGTGGCGGGGCCAAAATCAAACCAAAGAATTGGCTGCATGTATTTTCCAATTATGAACCTGAACCAACAAAATTTTCAAATAAGCAACATGAACAAAATAACTGTTAGCCGATTTTTACATCGATCTTTACGGTGTTAGTAAACCGTCAAGGTGTTAAGGTAGACGACACTATACCGAACACTTGGACTTAGAACTAAGTATTGTTTAACGGTTTACTAACCATGTGAATGTCAACATCAACTTTAAGTTGTCACAGTGTCGCTACATCGTCGCAACGATGTCATCTGACTCAGCACCGTTTAAAGGTTTATTAGCACCGTTAAAGTCACTGTAGAATTCAGCTACTGGTTATATGGTTTAGGTTGGTAATTTGAAAATTTTGTTAAATGCATGGTGCATGGTGCCACTGTTTGGGTTGGAGAAGGTATCCGACAAATTGTTTGAGTTGATTTGGCCGTTAAGTCTCAATTCTCAAGTCTGTTTATTTTTAGAAAAAAAAAATCCAAAATCAACCCAAACATTTTACCAATGCATTTTTATACCAAAAAATGGTATCATGCATTTTTAAACCTGAACCAATAAAAAAATCTAATTACCTACATAAATCGTGTAGGTCAAAGTAGAAAACACCTAACAAACTTATCTAAAAGATTTTGTTGCACAAAAAAAAATGAATAAGATTCTAAGAATCCAACCGATCAACACTATTAGTGGAAGAACTAAATCAATGATCTTCCACATCACCCATAATCGAAATCAACTTAGATGGATGACTTGGCTAGCTTGAGCAATCTAGGCTGTTGATTCTATTCTCCGAGATTTTTTTTATAAAAATTAAGCCAACGATTCAAAGTAGTATAAAGAAGTAGCTGAAGAATTCAAATGAAGCATTTTAATCTCATACTGGCTCAATAGAAAAAAAAGATGGAGTTGTCTCGATTTGGTTGCTCACTCATGATCATGATTACACAAAGCAATAGGTTTGATCTTTGTGAAATCATAATTAGAGAAGGTAGATAAGAGATTAAAATAATGCCATTTGGTTTGTGTAATGCACCCGCTACTTTCCAAAGATGCTCTACCAAGCTAGAATTCATCCACGCTCACCGCACCAGAGTAGTCATTTAGAGTTCTTGGGTTAAGGTAGATTAGGATGGTTTAGTTGTTGGGTTATGGAGTTTAGGGCTAGATTACTTAAGATCCTTACTTATTGGTTGTTTATAATGCTAGATTAGCCTTGATCATGTTGATTTAGACTTTAGGAATTTTATGCTCAGAAGGTGTTCGATGAAATTCCCGAACCAAAACCTTTAAGTGCTTTACATTCCTTACCTTTGGAAATTGTTGACTAAGGTGTTAAGTGGCTAGATAGACTTGTTTATAATGCTTGTTAGTCAATTGATTGCCTTTGGATGAAGTTGATGATTAATTGATTAGCAAATGGACTAATGTCATGGAAATGTGTTAGTGTTGCTTAGTGTTCTATGGCTTAAGGATCATTGCTTATTAGAAGTTGTTTGAAGCTCCATAATCCACTTCTTTATCATTCCTAATCAATTCCCTTTAACTCGAGAATTCGCTTATTAGCTTGTTATTTTTCCGCTTTGTTTACTTTCGAAACTTGTTAGTCTTTTGCATTTTACTTTCATTTATCTTGTTTTGCATTGTTTGATTGTTATTTACTTTGTTAGTCAAGTTTACAAAACCAAATCATCTTATTAGCCTAGATTAAGCTTTTGCGTGTATTCCTAGTGAGTTGATCAATTGCAAATTGTGGTTCGATATTTAATTGAGTAAAAGTACTACATCAATTTGGCGCCGTTGCCGGGGAAGAAGACAATTTTTTTTTTTTTTTTTTTTTTTTTTAAAGAGAAACTTGGATTCAAAACTCAACAAACCAAAGATTCATACAAAAACTTAGAAAGAAACCTTAAGAGAAGTTTATGATCTCTCAACAAAGCATGACATGAAATTAGGTCTAAAATCACTTAAATAGAAGTTTAAAACGGACCGGGTCGACCCATAACAAGCGGGTCGGATCCGGTTTTCGAATTCAGGTCATAAGGAAAATTGGCTCGCAACAGGGTACATAAGCTGATGCAGATGGCTGATGTATCAACAGAATAAACTTGGATTCTTCAAGACATCTCGCATCAGGGTGCATATGTCGATGCATATGGCTGATGTATCAACAGAATCTTCAGGACATGTCGCATCAGGGTGCATACGTCGATGTAGAAACCTGATGCATCTTCTTCTCCATCTCTTCATACTCCTCTAGTTCTTCTTTGCTTGATTTACTTCTTTTTACCCCCACTAGTGCTCCAATTGCCATCAAAACTCTAAAATCCACTCCATGGACCTAGAAGTAAGATATGCAATGCAAATATGCACCTAATAACCTAAACATGAATGCAAAATGATTGAAAACTAAGAGAAACAAAGCTATAAAACTAACAAAAACACAAGATATCAGTTGCAATAGCTGAAACTATCCTAATCTACGACGCAATGAATACAAATTGAATGAATCATTTGTCTATAGGCAGATTGGCAAAGCATCTTAAAAAAATCCATGAGGAGAAATTTCAGCGAAAGCAAGCAATTATGGTGACATTACAGATCAATTTGTTATCGATAAGGTAAATGATGAAATCTCTGAAGAAATAATATAGAAAAGAGGATTACAGTAGACGAGAAGGCAACAGGGTGAAGCCTCTTCTTTCTACCGCATATCACTGCATCTTGCATCGAGCCTCAACTGTAGGTCCAAACTGGACTTATGTACTTAGTATTGTAATACATTGTTGACGCATCTTCGTCCTAAAATATAATTGAAAAAGATACTTAACACATCAAACATCATAATCAAATTTAGTAAAAACAATACCTATGTCATGAATGTTTTGCAGTTTTAATTGGATTTTAGTTTTCGGTTTCTGTTTTTTGGATTTTTTATTTTCGGTTTTTAGTGTAGATTTTATTTTTTTGCAAAATCTTGAATGCTAATTTATTTAGTTTCTTTTTATATATATAATTATTTTAAGAAATTTATATTACTCCTTATGCTATGTATTTTGAATTTTAGTTTTTTTTTTTTTGTGTTTAAAACATTAAGAAACAAATGTCATGTAATTTTTGTTATAAAACCCATAAATTTTAGTTTTTGGACTCCAGAAAAGTAGATGTAAAATCTCTTAAAATCTGATTTCTTTATTTTTCTAGAAATTCTACTTTTATTAAAATCATGAATGGATAATTCTGGTTTTTGCATGCAAAATCAAAAACCAAAAACTGCTTTTAAATCTACAGCCATTCAAGGCCTAGTAATATCAATATATCATATTTGAATCAAAATATCATAATACATAATCAAAATCAAATATGAATGCATCATTATCATGATTGTAGAATACTAAAATTGAGTCGGAATCGTATTGAATATCATAATCGCATTACCTATCGTAATCTGAATTGCATTAAATTTTATAATTTCAATAACATTAAAGGATTAAACATTATGTAATAAGAAAACAATGAAAGTTTTCAGTTCAATAATGTCTGACATCATTGCTTTTCATGTATTACTTGTCGCAACATTACATTTTTATGGTTTAGTTTTGTAGCTAAAATGTTTAAAATTTTGAGTTTTGCATTAAATTAATATAGTTTAAAAGCATATTATCTTGTTCATCCAGTCTTAGCCAATACTGATATCACGGTGTTTGGAAGCTTTACTTTCTTTGATGGAAAACTTTGTTAAGGAGACTGCGAATATATCCATTAAAGTTTTTTTTGTTGAGGATGTTGTTGGATACCTAGCAACAAGGTGTTGTTGACCTTCTCATCTTTCACTTGAAAACCGATATGTTGAGAAAAAATTTGTCATCATTAACACGTTGTAGATTATCATAATCTATATATATAATAGGAGAGTCTTCTCTCCATCTAGCATATCCACCTAAGCATTGAGTACTATTTATTTTACATTAAAATAAATTTAAAACATTCATTCAGTGCATATTTATGTTACTTATAATTAATAAAAAATATAAATAAATAAAAAACGAATTATATAAAATACATTAGATATTAAAATAATAAAAATAATACTATTAAATTTTATTAGTAGTAATAATATAATTCAACTTTCAACATATAAAAATTAAAAATGATCATACTTCAAATTTTAAATGTGTAAATAAGTTTTAGAATGGAAGTAAATTTAAATACATGGTAGAATAAAACTAAATCTACATGTAA